GCTGAATTTTGGGGTGGAACGCTAAATCTGCCAGTTTCCATAGTTCAGAACATTAATGCTGTGAAAAGGTCTGCTTGTGATTTGGCCACCCTTGTGTTGAAAGAATATTGCAAATCGCACTGGAAAATAATAGTTTCGAACTGATTTTATTTTCAAAATGAATAGAAAAACAGATATATTTAACAGCAAATAATAAAACTTAACAATGCGCATACAGCACAGCTACAGAAAATGTTAATTTCTAATTTGAAGAACAATAGTTGATAAAACATTGTACCACTTGAAAATGGTATTTCATTTCCCTTCTCTCACTGACTTGGTGAATTTTCCAGTTTCTGCATCTTCAAAACCAGTTTAACCATTCAGAAATAGATGGGCTGTGTCTTTTGCTGATTTGTAATATTCTCACTGATGTTCAAAGATTCCAAAATGGGGTTTAGCTAGAATAATATTTAGATGACACAGCAATATGCAACAAGAGTTTGTGGTTCTCCTTCATACTGATACACAGAATTTTTATACCATGTGGACTATTAGAGATACTGCTAACATTTGGTCCCAGGCATGTCTTTTCCATTAATCACAGACAGAAAGAATGTGCATTTGGTTAATGAATAATCAAAATCTGCCTTGAATCATTTCCATTCTTTAATATATATAATACAATGAATCTGAATGCAATAATTTATGGAATTTGGGAATAATAGGAAACTTCTGATCTGACCTTCCTCCTGTTGCTATAAGTTCGGTTTTCAGTTTTTTGGGCAATGAGAAGAAAGAATGACTCAGCAGATCTGTGCCTGCCAGGACATTGTCCAACCAGAACAGTTAGCAGGTGTTTCTGCCAAACAAAATCAATCCAACTGGTATTTCTGTGCATAACGTTTCTACTTTTTGCCAATCATTGCATCATGCAAGGCTGTGGGAGCTGAGAGGACCTGAGAGTATAGCATGTGCCCTGAAGACCAGAGCAACAATGTCAACACCCACCAGTCACAGAGCAGCTTGATGCCACCACCAGATATGGGAGCTGCCAATCAATGCACACTAATGGCAGCATGCCTCCCTGCTGTCACCATGCGACCATACACTCACAGAACAAGGGGAGGAACAAAGACAACACAGCATCCTCTACTGTATGGAAGGCTGTAGTGTTGAAGCCCTGTGCCTTCTACATTCCTGGGGTGATTTCCCACTAGCGCTGCTCTGGGCTCACTCTTCACTTGTGCCTCGATGGTAGGTGTCAATTTCACACAAGCTGCTGCGCAGCCGCATTTTGCCTCGCAGCTTCCTGCGATTTCCCCCGCGTCTACTCAATCCTGTTTTTTGAGGATTGAGTAGACGCGGGGAAAATCGCACGAAGCTGAGAGGCAAGCAGCAGCTTGTGTGAAATTGACACCTACCATCGAGGCAAAAGTGAAGAGTGAGCCCGGAGCAGCGCTAGTGGGAAATCACCCCTGGACTCTCTATTGAAGGGGACTGTCCTGCAGGTATGTGCCCCTTTGACAAGTGGATACACAGAACAAGAACCATGGCCACTCTGACCAGATCACCCAGATGATGCCACCGCTCACTTGTGAAAAGAAACCCCCATGAAAACCCCACAGCCTCTTCCAAGCAAGGCTTCGGGTCTGGTGGGAGGGTAAGCCTTCTGCAAGGTGAGAAAGATGCAGATAGTACAAGAGCAAGAAGAGGATGCCTATCAATACAAGGCATTCTGGTCCTCTCCCCAGTAGCTCATGAGGAAAACGTTCTCATTTGGACAACAGGCAGGAGGGGTTTAAAACGCATGGTTTAGGAACGGGAATGCTGGGAGCATGGCAAAGCTCATCTTTTGGCCAGTAGAAAGCCGATCAGCAGCACACTAGAAGGAACAGGCAAGACTGGAAACTGCCCTTCACAGCATTCCTTTAACCATGCACACAATTGGGTACGGTGGGGGGAACACATCAGGGGGCATTTAGACTCCTCCATTGACCCTGGTTTCAAAATCAGCCATATATGCCAGGGCAGGAAAGACTTCAGAGAATGCCATAGTACTGATGAAGAGCACAGGCATTGAGCTCGCTACAGGACAGCTCTGAAAGGAGTTGCAGGCACAACTAGGATTTTGCTGCATCTGACCAAATTGCAAGGGATAATTGGCTGTCCTAGACTCCAACAAGTTTGCTTAGCTCCTTCCCCTATAGCCATCTCTCCAATGAGCTGAACACACGAAGCTGCCTGATACTGAGTCAGCCCATCAATCCAGCACGGTCAGCATTGTTTACTCCGGTTGGCAGCAGCTGCCCAGGGTCTCAGATGGAGGTCTTCCACATATTTACTCAGGCTGGCAGCAGCTGCCCAGGATCTCAGATGGAGGTCTTCCACATTACCTATTACCTGTTACACTGCAGATGCCGGGGACTGAATCCGGAACCTTCTGCATGCCAACCAGATGCTCCACCACTGAGCCATGGCCCCTCTCCCAAGTTAATGAAGTCAATGATTCATGAAGTTAATTATCACTGCCTGCTCTTGTTCATCCCAGCAATGCTTGTCCTCCATTTCCTCTCCCTGGCATTTACTCTGCGTGGTTCATCACACACCAGCAGTGTTCTGGGGAAATGGGAACGCCAAGGAGCTTGCCTCTCCCCACATTTTGTTGGAATTCTCACCACAGATGCTTTGGGGGCTGTTGCATGGCGCTCTACTTAGAACAGAAGGCTGAAACTTGGTTATTATTGGGACCTATATGGAGCATACATACTGGACCCATTAAACAGTCACTTCACTGGCTGTCCATCAGTTACTGGGTTCAAGTCATGGTACTGGCTATCACAAACAAAGCCCTTCATGGCCTTAGACCCTCATATCTATAGAATCACCCCCTGCTTTGCTTCACCATGGCACCTCCATTCATCTGTGCAGGGCCTTCGGTGGGTGCCATGCCACAAATGGGCAACATCAACGACTGCCAGTACACAGGCATTCTGTTGCCCCCATCCTGTGGAATGGCCTGCTTGAGGTCATCAGGAAGGCCCCCACACTTCTGTCATTAAGTGAACTGTGTAAAACAGAACTGTTCAGGAGGGCATTTTTGAAAAGTTAATAGGGCTGTATTATAACAAAATGGTTCAAGAAGGTGCTTTGATAAAGAAAGCAGGAATGTGAATGATATTACTGTGTAAAGTATGATTATCTACTGTCCTTATTACCCTTCTCTGAATGCTTTGTTTTTATGCTTATATAATACCATTTTCTGCATTGTTTAACATTGTCTATGCCTTGTTCAAGACTATGATTGTACAGATATACACTGTGTAATTTACCCTGAGTCTCAGTGAGCTAGGTGGGGTATAAATAAGGTAAAATGAAAATGAAATAAAAATAAAATACTTGACTGAAGCAATTGATTTCCAGATAGAATAAGGTGCTTGCACAGAAATGTGCAAATAGAAAAGGAGCCAACTACAGTAATCCAGACAAGTTCTTTTTAAACCCACAAATTCAGTTAATGCCACTTTCCCCATCGCTATAACAATATGATTGGGTGTGGGGAGGAGAGAAGAACACTAGTGAAATTTCTCTCCTGTCTCACAGTTCATAACAAATGATTTTATTTTTATGGCTTGTAATGGCACTGGTCAATTGCAATTCACATGCCCAGGCGGGTGATCCTTATTCTGTTTCCATGTCAAGAAGCACTAAGCAATCTTCACATCAAAATAGAATCTTTAATAGTGGCTATGGTGCAGACTTGAGTGACCAGGGTAATGCAAATACTTAAAGAACTGATAGCTGCTGTCAGAATAATGTGTCAAAAATGTATTCTGTTCGTAGAACCATGCACTATTCTGATCTGATAAGCTTTCTGCCAGTAACCCTGCCAACTCTAGTGAGGCTTTTTGCCATCAGAGCACTTAATTTGGCTGGAAGAGGCAGCTCTCATTCAAGCGAAAGAGACAGAAGCAAGATGACTTCAAGGAACAGACTCAGTCCCTGCTGGGAAGGGATATGGCTAATTTGCTAATGCTTGTGGGCAATAATGATAGACCCTGGGATATTTGCTAGCCAGCAAGCAAAAACCTATGTAAAATGACTTAATTACAGCTTAATTATCTTCTGCCAGCAATACTCTGTGGGAAGGCTGCATGTAATACTGAAAAATCATTCAAGGAAGTCACAAAATAATTTTATTTCCTGTAAATTTTAAGCTGTTCTAATAAAACAGAAGACTTGCTCTAAACATTTTTTCTAAAAAGAAAAAAGGATTCAGTGTTCCTGTGTACCAGCAAAAAAGAACTAAAGTCTTATGGTGCCTAAAATCCCAGGAGAAACTTTTGTGGACCAGAGTCCACTTTGCCAGATGCTGGGGGGGGGGGGGGGGGCTCAAGAGGCCATGAAGTGTAGGAAGTACTGGATGAAGCGAAATTATGTAAAGCTCAGATCTAATCAAGAAAAATAAGGAGCTAGTGGATACCTGTAAAAGGGAGACAGTCCCAGCTTTTGGTAAAACAGTTAACATATGTAATGAATACATCCCAAGTTTTATTCATGCTGGTGGGAGGTACTATGGAACTCTTGGATTCCAATTCAGCAGTTTTATGATGGAGTCTCCTTTTGATGATCTTTTGTTGTAGAATTGTGACTTTGATTTCCGAAATGGAGTGTCTGAGGAGATTTAAATGTTCTGCTAATTTCTGAATATTGTAATTTAAAAACAAATGACAAATTAAAAATTAAAAACCAGCTAGATGTCCATTTATTATTATTTTTTATACAGGGACTGACCTGTCAGTCAAAGTTAGAGAGTAGAAGGACATTGTTGACAAATGATAGCAGATAAGGCCAAAGTATCACTATCCTTTGAGGATGGGCTGTAGATAATTGATGAGCTGGTTTGCTGAGAGCTGGAAGCTATAGGTTACAATGAATGATCTTCTGCTTTTATCTCTTTTGGGCTTCTCTTACAGTGGCCTATTTCAAGGTAACAGTCTGGCTTTGTCCATCAGTTTCCTCCCACTTCATTGAGTGGGTAGTGTAATCCCAAGAATGCCTGTTGTAAATTCTTCAGTTGTGAGTCCCTGTCCAAGAAACTGGGGCAAATGTATTTGTAATGTAGTACTTTGGACTCATTGTGGATTTTATTCTATCGCAGCAGGTCATCTAGCATTTAGTTGTGATGTTCCAAAGAGGAAGATGTTTAAAATATGTTTAGCCAAATGGAAAAGAGTTTAGGTTATGTAAACTACCTGGCTAATGCTGCAGGTGTCAACAGGTTAGTGTCTGTATTTAGTAACAGTCAAAAGTAATTTCTTTTGAAAATATCAAATGTGCAAGTATGAACAAGAGAAAAGAGCGTGTTTATTTTGCATTAGAGAATTAGTTTGTTGGTTTTATCTTAGAATGTATAGAAAAAATATCTGTATGCAAGTTTGGCTCTCCTTCAACTTAAGACAGTTAACAACAGTACAAGAGTTCATCAATGCAGAAGGTAGTCCCTTTGAGCGTGCTAACAATTACTATAAAGAAGGTATTTTTACAACCGTAGCCTCAGGTGTGATGGCGTTCATGGGTTGAACTGGATCCCCTGTGGCTGTTTTGGCACTTGAAAAGGCGCGCGCGCGCACGGGGGGGGGGGGACAAGAGCACCTCCCCTTGCTGCGAGCCTGATCAGGATCAGGCTGTTGCAGCATTTTAAATTGCCCAGTAGGACTCTCGGACACTGTCATGTCTAGCTTGGCCTTTAGTATTTGAACTGATCAGAAGCTGAATGTGAATCTTGGGTATTTGAGGGCTTCTTATTTACATTGCTCTCACCATCAATGATGGGTTCTTGGATAAGCTTTAAAGTGTTACAGTAACTTACACAATTTGAGGGTGATGCAGTAAGTAAAGGTATACAGGAAGCACTTTTTAGGGTTCCCTGATCATTGCTTAGCCCTTAAGCAATGTTGGGTGTCTGATTAGATGCACAAACCCAGAATTAACTCATCAGGATTTACACTTCTATGACTCTTTAAACTTATATAACTGACAGGCAAAAATGTATTATCAGCAAAACTAGCTAAAACAATCATAGTGCTTTTAGTATTCTGTTATTGGATGGTAAAGAATGTTACCAGAACACATTGTCCCATTTTGTTATTGAGTTTAATGACAGTTTTCCAGGAATTAATGGTAACCTGAGCAATGTTTTCAACAGGGACGTCTTGCTGTTGAGAACCAAGGTAGATGAAATGATACCCAAGCTTCACACTAATCTATTGGGAACAATGTTGCTGCAAAGTTGCTGTGAAGAGTATGATTCAATAGCAGAGTGGTGCTGTTGTTAACATAGGTGTGTCTCCTGAAGTAAATGTGATTATATTTCATTAATGCTTATTTGGCTACAAATAATTTAATCCATGGTATAGGTTCTCTAGCATATGGTTTAAAGTTATTGGAAAGACTGGATACAGAGATGCCCTTGCTCATTTTCCTGGAACACGGGGAGGGTACCACATTGGAGAATAGTGCCCAGAGGAACCATAGGTAGTACGCCAAAAAGCCACAAGTGACTGCTGAACGACTGAGTATCACAGGTTCAGAGTATTTTGTCAAACCAAGCAAATTAAATTTTCTCTCTCTCCCTTTTTAGTTCCTAAGCAGCACAATATGGATTCTTGGACAATGACCTACAGTTTCCTGGGATATAATTAAAAAATATATCTTTAATTCTTTAAAATTATATGTCTAATTCTGAATATGGCCCCAGTATGCAGATCAGAAAATCTGCATACTGGAACCCCTGGGAGATGAGGAATGTGTTTACAAATATTTACACAAAAATCCATAAAGTATGAAGGAGGCTAACCCTTTTACTCCAAACAAGAAGTGATATATGTGTGCAGGTACATACATTGTAACTTTTAAAAAATGTACATTGAAAATGTATTCAATGAAGGCGCATGTATACAATGAAATTTATTAAATGAAGGGTTACTACTGCTCTGTGTAGTAACCCTGCCCTGTTTCTTCTACCCATTTCAAGTATTTGTAGGTTCCTGCTTAACTTTTTAAACTGCCTCCCTAATGCATTTCCCTGAAACAGGCTTGCTTGTTCAATGCACATTAACCCATTGATACAGACTATTTAAGAATATTATGGTTAAAAGCTCTACATTTATCAAAGCACAATACACCAGCTGGAAAATGTAATTTGTCTTGCTAGAATTTTTAAACCTAGAATTTACCTACCATATAGTTTCATTCTATTTTATCTCGTTTTAGGAAGTATTGTTGGACTGAAGGGCAATTCTGGTCAGTCTGTGTACATTGACAGCAAAGCTGGATTAGTTGGATTGTCACGCTTTCTTGCTAAAGAAGTAGCAGGAAAGAACATTCAAGTCAACATGATTGCTCCCATTTAGTTCTGAGTTAAATTACTTATTCTCTGAATGGCACTTGGGATTTGATAGTTTCATATTAAATCTGAATTGGCTCCTTAACATGTTGATTGTAAAATGCAATTACAGAACAAACCAGGGCTGCCGACAGACGGTGACAATGGGAACAAAATTCAGGGGGCCCAAGTCAGCTGGAGGGCCCTTGAAGCCAGCCTCATGCTACATCAAGCCAAATGTCTTTCCGTTTATTTTAATGCAGTTCTGGCTGCAGTCACTAGGGGCTCAGAGAAGTCTGAGCACAGTAAAAGGCACTAAAATAGCAGCTTTTGTTGTTATTCAGGAGTTTTTCCGCCAGCCGAATGTCAATGTCTGCCCCATTATATCCTATGGGCCATTGAAGTCAATGGCAAAAACAAAGGATATAGTCCAGCTGAGCTCTGAGCAGGAGCAGGAGAGAGAGCTGTGAGAGTGGTGAGTGGGTTCCTTTTACTTGCTTTCAGCCGAGAGAATTTAGCTAAGGATATTTTGTGGGAAAACTGTGTTTAGCAGTGTGTGGAAGCACTTAGAGTTCTTGCAGAGTCCTGGCTGATTGAGTGTGGGAGAGGAACGGGCACTGTTTGACTGGGATTGCCTGTAATTGAGAGGAAGTGGAAGGGGCATTGTTTTGCCTGTGATTGAGTGCCTGGGTGAATTTGAATTTGAATAGCTGCTGCCTGACCTCTGCTGGGGGAGGCCTCGCATTCAGCTCAGACGAACCGAATGCACATCCCTAAACCACGGCATGAAGCAGTGCAAGGCAGCTGAGCGGGCTGGCAAGTGAGGTGTGGCCAGGGGGCTATGGGTCCTGTGGCTGAACCTGCAACTACAGAGATTTCTCCCCTTCTCCCTCCAGTGCAAGATTGCAGACCTTGCTCACTTGCATGCGCCTATGCCCTCATTGCTGAGGAAGCTGGCCGCCAAGGGAGACAGAAACACAGCACTCCCTCAGCTTCCCCTCCCGGGTTTTTCCTTCAGCTCCTGCCTTCTCAGTCTAGCCTGGTTGCACCAACACAGGGCGCACACAAGCCACCAGTGGCAGCAGAGCAGCCATTTCCATCCCGTCTGCTCGCCCACCTCTCCTTCTTTGGCTTGTCTCCCCGGCAGGGCGGGCTGCCACATCCAAGTCTGAGAAGTGTTGCAGCAGAAAGCCCCCCTGCAGGGTGGTGGGTGGGGGTGTGACCAAGGCAAAGTCACCGTGGAAGCACAAAGTCAGCCAGGAAGAAAGAAATAAGGAACCGAACAGGAGCCCGCCATTTTCGCCGTAGTTCCCTGCACTCCACACAGCCAATGCGGTTGCGGGGGGAAATGAGAGGAGGAGGGGATCATCCTCAGGTTACTCGGAGTCAGTGACTGACTTCCACTTACACCCACCCTCCACAATAGGGGAAATAACCCTGCTCCTGCCTGCGAGTGTGAGTTTATTTTATTTTATTTTTATTTTATCAGTGCCCCCTGACTTATTTAAAGTCCCCCCTGAATTAAGAAATTCTGGCTATGGGCCTGACCTTCAGTCTTTCTCAGCATCAGGGTCTTCTCCAGCGAGTGCTTCCTTCTCATTTGGTGGCCAAAGTATTTGAGCTTCAGCTTCAGTATCTGGCCTTCCAGGGAACAGTCAGGGTTGATTTCTTTTAGACTTCCCTTTCTCCAGGACTGAAGCAAACTTGCCTAATTGATCATTCTAAAGCCATCAGCTCATCCAGCAATGGAGCAAGATAAGCAACTCTCTCTGATGGCTTCTACACTAACTGCTGGTCTGCAGACTGCTAACCAAGGTCATTTTCGATAACAGTCTAGCGTTTCTCTCTTCCTTTCCTTGCACCCAGCTCAGCCAGATCTTGCAATGCAGTAGTTAGGGTGTTACAGCAAGATAAAAGAATCTTTCCCTCTGTTTTCCTTAATTTCTCTCCCTCTTTTCCACACTTTTCTAATTTATTTGTGTCTCCCTCCACGTAATCTTTCTGTTTCACCCCCCCCATTTTCAATTCTTGATCTCAAGACCTTCTCATCCCTATCCTCCTTGGTGACAGAATGTATTTAAGCGTAGTGTATTCATAAACCATTGTTGAAGTTGTTATTTCTCCACAATCTAACACAGTTCTGGCTGAGGGGCTGGAGACCATGGTAGGATAGTTACAACAGAGCCAGCTGAGACTGAATCATGCTAATACGGAAGTTCTGCGGATTCTGTTTTTACCTGTTGAATTTTGGCATGTGTGCCTATCTGTGAGCTGCCCTGAGCCCATCTGGGGAGGGCGGGGTATAAATTTACCAATAATAAATAAATGGGCAGAGAGGATTCAGGTTTGGGGTGCTGACTCCTGGCTCTTGACGGCGTGCCCTTAACACCAGCACCATCAAGAGCTTCAGCATGATTCTGGAGGCCTCCTTATCAATGGAGGCTCAGATCACAAATATTGCCAGACTGGTGTTTTTCCAGCTACATTAGGTCAGGCAACTGCCCCACTACCTGTCCCGCCCTGACCTAGCCACTGTAATCCATGCAATGGTCACCTCCAGATTGGACTACTGTAACTTGCTCTACATGGGCCTACCCTTGAGACTGACCCAAAAACTTCAGCTGGTCCAGAACGCAGTAGTGTGAGTCCTTACAGGGACCCCACGAACAGCACATATTTGACTTGTGGTTTGCCAGCTGCACTGATTACCAGTTGAGCACTGGATCAGGTTCAAGGTTTTGGTACTTACCTTTAAGACCCTTCATGGTCTGGGACCCACATATCGTCAAGACTGACTCTCCTGGTATACCCCCTAAAGAGCACTGCACTCTGCTGATAAGAACTTACTTGTGGTCCCCGGCCTGAGAGACATCCGGCTGTCCTTGACCAGGATCAGGGCTTTTAGTGCCCTGGCCCCAATCTGGTGGAACTCTCTGCCGAGTGACATCCATGCCCTGTGGGACTTAATGCAGTTCTGTAGAGCTTGTAAGGCCGAGATGTTCCGCCAGGTGTTTGGTTGAGGACAGTGACATCATCCATCTGGCTGGCATTCTTACCCCTCCCCCCCCCCCGTAAGGTGGTAGTATAACTGGAAGTCTGACCACCATCTGATTAAATTGATACTGAAATGTTATTGTAATTTTAATGTTTTAACTAGTATGATATAGTTGTTTTTATCTATCATCGTACACCACCCTGAGCCTTGTTTACAGGGAATTGGGCAGTATAAAATTTGAATTTAATAAATAAATAAATAAAAGGACGCTTCCCCCCTCCTCCACCCTTTACATGCATGATAATGGAACATTAATCTCTTTTAGTGGTTATATGTGTGGATCAGAAGTTACAACTCTCAGTTCAGGCACTGGATTGTTAATAATTATTGTGCTGGCGGAAGATCTAATAGCATATTGTATACGCTACTTTGCTATATGACAACTGATATACCTTTTTAATATCATTAAAAATTAGATTTATAACAAATACCATACCTAGTCTTTCTCCCCAGTGGGGACCCAAAGCTGCACTGTTCTCCTGTCCTCTGTTTTATCCTCACAACAGCCTGGCTGAGAGTATCACCAAGCAGCCTTCCATGGCAAGGTTGGGGATCTGAGTATTAGAGACACATGGCACATCTCTTATTATATGTTGTCTGCCATGAAGCTAACCTGGTTCGGGGTGTTCAGGTTCCCTTCACTTTTGGCACTGGAACGTCCACCATCATTCTGGGGTTAGTGGCCAGTTTTCAAACATGGTAGCATTATTTTCTGAGTTGTGCTGGTCACAGAGATCCTTAGCTTCAGCTGCAAATAGTGGTGGTGGTTTGTCTCAGCTGGGCCAGGATTTTCCGTTTTTCAGTTTTGGCCATGGAACTTCCACAATCATCCTGAACCTGGTGGCCAATTTTGAGTCTCCTAGCTTTATTCTCTGTTGAGTTATGCCTGCCAGTGTGGTTAGTGGTTAAAGTGTCAGACTAGAATCTGGGACATCCAGGTTCAAATCCTCACTCTGCCACTCCGCCGTGGAGGCTTCCTGGGTGACCTTGGGCCAGTCACACACTCTCGGCCTAACCTACCTCATGGAGGAGATGAGAATGATATAAACCACTTTGGGTCCCCATTGGGGAGAAAGGTGGGCTATAAATAAAGTAAATAAGTAAACAAACATGAACAAACAGGCCAATTCTATTATCTCTTCTCCCTTATAATAAAGCAGTAGTGGGGACCAACGTTCTAAAATGCCCGCCTTTAGTGTTTGGCCGGAAGAACTGCCACTCAGAAGACACTGGCTGGGTTGACTGGCTGCTTTGTGCAGTCCCGCCCAGCGTTCCAAGGTCTTTTGCATATGGAAGCTGATTGGACTTCACTCCATTCCACACCTCAAACCCCCCCCGCAAGGCAGTTGGAATTTTCATTTGCATATGGGAACTACTGTATGCTGAGGTAACATATGTCCTCACTCACAACACATCACTTCCCCTTTAAAAGAAACAAACCCAATAACACAATCACGCCACACCACAAAGAAGACAGATCACACCACAAGCAGAATACCACAAGGCAAAAAATGATAGGAAAAGGTGCCAGCAGTCACCCCATTACTGCCACAGATGGTGTGCAGGTCCCAGGTTCATGTTTTAAAAGCTGCCTGGGGGACTATGGACCATTCACACACTTTCAACCATAACATACCTCATAGGGTAGTTGTGCGGATCATACGGGGGAGAGGAGAATGATGTCAGCTGCTTTGGTTCCCACTGCAGGGAAAGACTGCCCTTTCCCTAGGCAGAGGCGGGGGGGGGGGGGATGTAAAACTTAAGACAGACAGGCAGATAAAGGTTGGCTGATGGTTGCCTGGAAAGGACATAGGGTTGAAGCCTGCTGAGGGTGGGGTCTGAGGAATAGGAGGAAGAGGGGGACCTCAGACAGATACAATGCCATACTGCCCACACTCCAGACAAGCTGTTGCCAGTCTCCAGGTGACAGCTGGAGAGCTCTAAAAGCTTTGGTGCTAATTCAAAGTGTTGCAATTTATCAACAGAGTAGTGTTTTGGAAAATCTTTAGGAATTGTTTGATGCATTTATGATGGGGCTCCTGGGGAACTATTGTTGCCAATCTTGGCCCAGCAGCCATCAAACCATTCTCTTCAACCCCCTGCTGTGCAGCTGACTTTCCCCTAGGGTTGCCAATCTCCAGGTGGGACCTGGAGATCTCCCACTGTTACAATTGACCTGGAGACTTGAGGGATGGAGCCTGAAGAGGGTGAGGTTTGAGGAGGGGTGGGACCTCAGACAGGTACAATGCCATAGACTCCACCCTCCAAACCAGTCAGTCCCTCATAGGGAACCATTGTTGCCAATCTCCAGGTGAGGGCTGGAGAGCACTCAGAATTACAACTGCTCTGCAGAAGGGAGGGCAGAAGTCAGCTGAAGTCAAAGGGGCAGATAATGGTAGGTAGATGGTTAGCTGGGAAGGAGATGGGGTTGCCAACTACATGCTGACAAATTCCTGGGGATTTGAGAGGTGGAGCCTGGAGAGGGTGGGGTTTGCAGAGGGGTGGGACCTCAGACAGGTAGAATGCCATAGACTACACCCTCCAAACCAGCCATTTTGTCCTGGGTAACAATTGCTGCCAATCTCCAGGTGAGGGCTACAGATCACTCACAATTACAACTGCTCTTCAGGTAGCAGAGATCAGTTCCTCTGGAGAAAACAGTGGACTCTGTCATTATACCCTGCTGAGGTCACCACAGCAAATTGACACTGTTTGCCCAAAGCCAGAGCACTCCCCCAGAGCCTCTTTCTAGATCTCGTTGTATTGCTTTCACAACGAGCTTTACTGCTAGTTATTATATATTCATGATAACAGCAAGCCAAGTGATTTGTTCATTTTCTTATAATATTTGGTTTGGATCAAGGCCATATGGGGTGGGCCCCCCGAGATGGAACCTTTGTCCAGAAGCCCAGGGGTGCTCTTGGCAACCCTGGTACCAACAACCAATAGAGATTAGTCTGAAGTATTCTTTCATTAACTGAGTTAAAGCCTGAGAACATAATTTTTTGTAAAACAATAACAACATCAGGTTGTGTGTCAGTATTTTCAGCAGCTTGTTCAGCACCTCATATAATATACTTTTCATGCCTGTTTAAGAATTTTATTTAAAAGTAGGAATACAGAAGTAGCTCTTCTATAGGAAAAGGGTGTGGCTGTCAATGCTCCCTCTAAGCTGCGGAGTCTTGTGAGCAAAAATTCTACTTTGTGAGCTCCTGGCATTAAAGTTGTGAGTGAGTGATTTGGGTACTGCATAAATTAGTTTGCTCTGGAGCCATCCTTCCCGAGCTAAGAGAAAAAGGTGTGAGTTGGAGGCTAAAAAACTGTAAGCTAGCTCACACTAACTCAGTTTAGAGGGAACACTGGTGACTGTGTATGTGGCACTCTGACTACTTTTTTTCCATATTAGGCTGCGGTCACACGGGCAGGAAAATGTGTGTGTGGGGGGGAAGCATGGCTGTTTGCCCTGGGGCAAAATAACGCATGGTTGCGCGAGCAGACATCCCGTGGAGGTCCTGTGGTAGGGTGGAGGTGCCGATCACACCACAATCCTGTCGCACGGCAAAGAAGTGCCACAGCAAACAGGTTGTTTTTTCCCCTGTACACCAACATGTGTGCATGCCCCATTGGGTGCTTGTGCGCATCCCAAGGACACTTGAAAAAAAACCCTTTTTGCGAGGGGACATGGGTGGGCGCCGGATGCCATGGGATTCCACCGGAAACGCAATCATGTGCCCGCCCTTGCCCCGCGGTTTCTGGAAACTAGTACCTCCGAGGTACTAGTTTTTTTACCGTGCATCTTCGGAGTGAAGCCTCGGGTGAGCCACGGGAGCTCTACGCTTCCCAGATGTGGCGGTGAGATCGTGCCCGGAAAATCCGCCTATCTTCCATCTCTCTAGCGTGCCTAATGCTCTGTGTGACCGCAGCCTTAGTTGTCCTTCAGTGTGGAAGACTTTAGATATAATGCTACTGACTCAGTTCAGGCATGAACAATCTTATGTGTTTCCCGTTCCTTCTCTTCTTTCTCCCCTATTGTGCATGGCTTTTCTTTCAGTTTCAAAGTATGCTTTGCACTTCAGGAAACTGAAAGTAAATCCATTTATGAGAGTGTAGGAAGGAATGCAAGGGCCTGTGGCTCACTTCCAAATTCCAAAATAAATATTAATTGTATTCTTTACTAGTAATGGAAAGGTTTCTCACATTTCTTCCGCTTCTGTGGATGATTTTTCTTCATGCAGAAATAGTTTCCTAACTATAGATATGCCTTAGTAATATCAAGTGTTTCATCTAAAAATATAATTAAAAGCTATGATCTATTTTTTGTGTACACAAATGGCTGCATACATGAAACAATGAATAACTCCAGTTAAGCTTTTAGCTAAATCGAGATTTTGTTTTGAACACTAACACCTTCTGACATCCCAGCTCATCTCCAGTAATACACTGACTAAAAGGCTTTGGGTGTGAGGATTTAACCTCCTAACCTAAGGCAGAAATGCATTCACATGCACTGTCTGTCTGTTCATTTCATTCATTTCTGATGTCCTTTCATTTTTGTCTAGCCAGTGTTACTGGGAGTTGCTTTCTACTAGTGAAGTGCAGAGTGTGTTTTCACTAATTACATTTAAATTAGAACTACTTAATTCTTTGACAATGAAAATATTCTAGTTTAGCTAAAACGTTTATTTTGTTGTGCAAAGTTGAACATATGGGCTCTAACAGTCTTAAGCAGGGGTCTTGTTGTAGAAAAAGAGCTGCCGGAGCTCATTAGCATAACTCATTAGCATAACTTATTTGCATATGCCACGCCCCCTGACATCACCGGAAGTGACAGAAGGCCACACCCCCTGACATCACCGGAAGTGTGTCAGAAGGCCCGGCTACTTACCCTCCTGCTTCATCCTCATTCCCAAACGGAATGAGGATCGAAGCAGAGGGCGGGGTAAAGAAGGGGGCGGGGCTTCACCACGTGACCGCCCCGCCCCCTAGAGGTTCTCTTCCGGAGCTCCGTACCTGAGAGCTCCCCCCCGACTAGAGCCCTGGTCTTAAGTATGGGAACGTCCCCCGGGGCCTGTTCAAAGGTTGCTTTTTCCACAGCTGTAAAAATGCATATGGGCCTTGGGTCTATGGTAGTATCACCCAACACATACTTATCCTGGGAGAACATGAATTTATTTGAGCCCAGGAGCGCTCTGACCCTGCAGTGAAAAAACCCTGGTTTAGTTATCTTCTGGTGCAGTTGTTGCGTTCTGGATATGGAAAGTATACAAGGCTGCTTGCCCTATCCATACGTAGCGGTTGGTGTGATGGAGGAAAGAAATGACCTCTGAGCAGGCCAGGACTGGGTGGGGGTTCTTGTGTTAAAGAACTCTATGCTGCCTTTTGCTTTTGTTTGTTTTGATATGTTTTTGAAGTATATCTTATTAAGATCTGTAATGAGATATTGCCAAAAAGCCTGATTAGATCAGTCTGTAAATATAAAATTCAGTTTCATCCACATCCAGTTTTACTCAGATTGGTCCTTATTAGGGGTGTGCACCAACCCCCCCCTCCAGTATTTTTCGGGTTCGGGTAACATAAGAACATAAGAACATAAGAGATGCCAATGTTGGATCAGGCCAAAGGCCCATCCAGTCCAACACTCTGTATCACACAGTGGCCAGAAATACCAGTGCCATCAGGAGGTCCACCAGTGGGGCCAGGACATTAGAAGCCCTCCCACTGTTGACCCCCCCAAGCACCAAGATGACAGAGCATCACTTGCCCCAGAGTCCCTATCTATACCTTGTGGCTAATAGCCACTGATGGACCTCTGCTCCATATGCTTATCTAATTCCCTTTTGAAGCCGTCCATGCTTGTAGCTGCCACTATTTCCTGTGGCAGTGAATTCCAAGTGTTAATCCCTCTTTGGGTGAAGAAGTACTTCCTTTTATCTGTTCTAACCCGACCGCTCAGCAATTTCATGGAGTGCCCACGGGTTCTTGTATTGTGAGAAAGGGAGAAAAGTACCTCTTTCTCTACCTGCTCTTTCCCATGCATAATCTTATAAACCTCAATCATGTCACCCCTCAGTCGTCGTTTCTCCAAGCTAAAGAGCCCTAAGCGCCTTAACCTTTCCTCATAGGGAAAGTGTTCCAACCCTTTTATCATTCGAATTGCCCTTTTCTGCACTTTTTCCAAAGCTATAATATCCTTTTTAAGGTGTGGTGACCAGAACTGCACACAGTATTTCAAATGAGGTCGCACCATTGATTTATATTTTCTTGCAGTCTAGTTTAAACTGGGATGCAGCACAAGCAAGCCTCAGGAGCTGCTGTGCAGTGCGGACCCCATTGCTCCTGGCGGCAGAGAAGATCCTGGGCTCACTTTCTCCTGCAGTCTGGTTTAAACTGGGGTGCTGGAGAAGCGAGCCCCAGGAGCCCACGAGTGAGCTTGGAAGGCATTTAAAGGGCCCATAGTCCCTTTAAATGCACTTCAGCCGCAGCTATGCAACTGACCCCAAAAATCATGAAAATATTCATTTCTGGACAGCTGAGTAAATGGCCCACTTGCTAACCAGCTGAAAAATATCCGGAAAATACTGATACAGTATTGTTCAGTTTTTTTTTGTTTTTTGGCTGGGTTTAGCTGAATGCACACCCTACTCCTTATTTCAAGTTGCTTTAGATAAATATAAACATACTTTGACTTGAGTTCTCTGTTATGCAAACTGTGGTATGAGTTTTGACAAATTATGACACTGATTCTCAGGAAGCTGTGCAGGTGTAACTGGAGCTATGTCAGGATTTTATTAATTTTTTTCTTTGTAACATTCCCCCACCTCCCTGGTTAGGTTTCATTCATACGGAGATGACAGCACATTTGAAAGAAGATCAGTTGAGGAAAACTATTCCTCTCAGAAGGTTTGGGGAACCTCAAGAAATTGCCAAAGCAATTGTATTTCTTCTGAAGTCTCCTTACATAACAGGACATGTTCTGGTTGTAGGTGGAGGTTTGCAACTTATGATTTAAAATTTGTAACAGCACAGTTTTGAGTTTGGGGAGAATAGTTCAGCCACCAGGCTAAGTGGAGGATGATACAAGATAGTACACATTGTTGGTAGTCTGGAAAACTTTAAATTATGTGCTTACATTGCTGTTTGTATGTAGATAAGAAAATTCTCTATGTATGACACCAAATGAACATGTGACTCCTGTCTTCTGTGTATGTGTGAATGATAGAGACACTGAGGACTGCATTTTGGAGAGTTAGTATGCAAATATTCTAAATGAAACAGTCTATTTCTCATTCTGTTTGCATAAAGGTATGACATTTTATTCACAATTATGTCATAGCAAAGTCCAGGTGTTCCATTCAGAAGGGCAAAACAAACTGACAATAAAGTACTTAAAAATAGTCCAAGGCTGTGTAAGAGCACTTGTATGATCATTTATTTTTATTCTCATCTTAAGTGATTGATTCCTAACAAGGAATATATATACAGCAGTAATCCTGATAATTTTGATGCATTATTTCATTCAAAGTATTTGAAACAATGATAACGTGTAATTTAAATGTGACACTTCTTGGCCTCCTTTAACTGAAGCATGAATATTCACCTTTATCAAACACTTCAGAATGGGTCTCTGGTTGACTTTATTTTAAAAAGTTCATTTTGTTGCAAACCATCAGAAATCCTTGGAGGGGGGGGGGAGAACTGGAGCACTTTGGGAGTAGTTTTTAGGACAGAAAACAAAAGCATTCATACAGATACTGTTCCCTGCATTAGAAGCTATGTGTTCTTCCTTACTGTAAGCCTGTCTTATATCCCCTGATATTAATTAGACACATATTTATAGCAGGAAAATATTTAATGTCTTTTCTCTGGATAATACAGGAGTTTGGTAGCATGCTCTGCGTGTGTGTGTGTGTGTGTGTGTGTGATAGTACATGGAGATGTTTCTCTTTTAAATGTGCGGAGCTGTTTAGCTTACCCTCGTAATTCCTTTAGTATCTTAGAATACAGTTAGGGGTTACCAAGTCCCTTGGCCACTGGTGGGGGATGGGAGGTAGGGTTGCCAGATCCAGGTTGGGAAACTCTTGGGGATTTGGGAATGGAGTCGGGGGAGGACAGGGACCTCAGTGGGGTACCATGCCACACAGTCCACCCTCCAAAGCATCCATTTTCTCCAGGGGAAATGATCTCTGTAGCCTGGGGATAAGCTGTGATTCCAGATCCCACCTGGAGACTAGGACCCCTAGGTACAATTCAGCCAGCCCAGAAGACCTGAACTAATTCAATTTAGCAAGGGTGTTCCCTGGCCCAATCCTTACCAGTCCTGAGCTGCAATCCTGTCTCTTCACAATCCATACCCCTCCTGTCCTTTGTACACAGTATGGTAGTGGCCATACTGCTGACTTTTTGTTGGAAAATGAGCTGCACACAAGCGCTGAGTTTAGATCTGTACATAAACTGGTTTAGAAGTGTGCATAGCCTTGATTATCAGCGAGAAAGGCAGATTGCAAATGAAGTAAATAAATACATTATAATTAGCATAAATCAAAAATGTAAACAGTAAACTACATGAAGCCCTGTTGATAACTAGAATCAATATACCACTTATCATCATGCAAGACATATCAGGAAATGTTGGAGACAATACTTTTGGGAAAACAGAAATCTCCATCCCTCCCATTCATGCAGAGAAAGGCCATTGTGATCAGTAATGTTAGCTCATGAACAGGTCTCCTTCTCCTTTTCACCTCTTGAGGTCAGTATAACTTAAAGAATGATGTATAATTAAGCTGATTTGAATAGTTAGAAGTTACAAATGTTGTTCCGTGTTCAAGTTACATTTTGCTTGAATTTTCAGAGCTGATAAATACTATTGTGCTTAAATCATTCCATGTTCATTTAAAATGGCAAAATTGACTCTCAGAGGAAAAAAGTTACATTAAAATTCATTCGTATGTAGCTTTCAAACTTGATAGTGTAAAAATGGATATCTTCTTTAATCAAATTGAATGACTTCATGAAGATAACGTGGTTGCATGGACATTAATGAACTAGTATGCTTTACTCCGCTGGACTGTGCCAAGTATGCAGAATGCTACATAGATCATAAGACAGAATGCAAACTATCTAAAATTTTAAATTTCACTGATTTCAGTGGAAGAGGCTGGAATCAACACTTCTTAACTGTTTAACTTCAACAGAAGTGTACCCAGGGTCGGCTCTCACACTAGGCCAGCTACTCTCTGGCCTAGGGTGGAGCTCCGAACAGGGCCCCAACTGCCCTGCCGCCCTCCCCCCCGCCAAAAGCCCCCACCCTGCCCAAAGCCGCCACTACTAAAACTCATCTGGTGGCAGTGGTGGCAGCGCACATGCTGCTCTGTGCCACTGTGCACCCGTCCATAGGGCACTCCTGCCCGCCCCAACTTATGCACGGCACGCCCATTGGTCCCCATCGCTGATTCACCACAGCACTACTTGGGGAGGGCGGGGCACAGACAGCGCCCCCTTTCACGGCTGAGCTCCCTCCGGGGCGGGCGGAGCAGAGAAGAGGTGAATCTCCCCCCCCCCAGCTGCTGCCTTTCCAGGGATGGGCTGTGGCAGCAACAGTAAGCCAGAGACGCTCTGTGCATGGTCTCGGCCCCTGGGACCAAGGCTCCCTTGAAGCTGTGGCATCTCGTGAGCAAAAATACTACTTTCTGAGTTGCTGGCATTAAAGTTCTAAGTGGGCGATTTGGCTGTTGCATGAATTAGTTTGCTTTGGAGCCACATCCTTCCTGAGCTGAGGCGCGCCTCCCCCCTTTGGTGGCGGCGGCAGTGGGAGGGAGGCGGTGGCGACAAAAGGATGGCTGTGTGGTGGCACCTGGTCACCTGCCAGAGGAAGGCCCCCCCACAAGGAAGGTCGCTGGTTTTGGGTGGCGCTGCAATTCACACACGACCCCCACGCACTGCCCTGCTTCTCCCCCCCCACTAAAGGAAGAAGCCGGGAGAGGCCCGCATTCCCCTCAGTGCCTGTTGGTAGGCAACTAAGCTTGGTCCTGTCACCTACTTTGGCATTTGGGAGAAAACACATTGGGGCCAGTCCTGATAGAGTTGCCAACTCCAGATGGGAAATTCCTGGAGATATGAGGGATGGAGCCTGAAGAGGGTGAGGTTTGAGGAGGGGTGGGACCTCAGACAGGTACAATGCCATAGACTCCACCCTCCAAACCAGTCAGTCCCTCATAGGGAACCATTGTTGCCAGGGGTGTGTGTCACTCTCCAGGCCTTCCCTCTGTAGCCACGCACGCTGAGGTTTTGGCTGTAGTGGGTGTGGCCAGCTCTGAAGCCAGCCGGAACTCCGTTCCTGTGCGTTCCTGCCCAAAAATAGCCCTGCTTTGTCAGCTGCCCCCAAAATCTGATGGATTGGCTTTTGCCATCCCTTTTGTATGTTTAGATGGCTTCAAGTACTTCAAAGAAGGAGGGTTCCATGCAGCCAGTTCTATCTTCTCACATGGAGCAATTTAGGAGCCGATCTCCAGAGACCATACTGGAGTTAGATGCCTTTACCAGCTCACTCCATCCCATATGCTTTAGTCCTGGCCTTTCACTCGCACACAAAGACTGAGGGCTGGATTTTGCCAGCTTTTAAATTCCATTTTAATCTTTCTTCTTTACTTTTGAACATTAACTGGAGTACAGAAGAACAATGTAGGCCACTTTGAGTGTCCTTTGGGGAGAAAATCAGGGTATAGATGAGGTAAACAGAATAAAATCAAATCTACTTTAATGGAAAACAACATGATCCTGAATACAAGATGATCCCCATACAAACAGGTTTTACAGAAAAGGTTTTTTATTAGTATACATAAATGTAGCTTGTATGTGAATTTAAGATGGTGCCCTCTTTTACTGTGTAGCATGTGTTGAAAAAAAATCTAATCTTCCTTTAATCTAAATAGGTGTATTTTTTCTAAAGTTGTGGGCTGTAATCTCCTTTGTGCCTAAGTGTTTGGGGCTTTTTTGAAAGAGTATGAAGAGTAGTTTGCTGGGACTAAGTGGAAATATTTATTCATGACAAGTTGATTCACTTAGAGATCCTACTAATGAACTGTAACAGTATTTCGGGTTCGTCAGATTTAGAAAAACAGCTTTCCCACAGTAAGCGTTGTTTCACTTGCCGTATTATTGTGTCAAACTGGCTAGTTCCTATGCATTTTTGACAGCTGACTGCACACGGCTAATAAATATTGCTTTTCTTTATGTGAACAATTGTTTAGCAGCCCTAAGGAAGTTATCCCTTCTCTTTCCTGGAAATATATTTATTCAGGCAGTACCACACAGGTTAGAAATGTTTAAATTGTGCCACTCCTGCTGCTATAATGATAAGTCTTTCCTCCTACACCTTTTGAAACTTTGCTAGATTGTCACTGCCTCTTCAGATAAATTGATGGGCTTCACTGAACATTTTAAAGGGTAGGCAAATAGGCCTCTGTAGTTATTTGGGATAGTTATGTTTATGGAGGATGTGATTTTAGTGAGGTAGGAGTTACTATGAAATGTAATTCTTCCCTATTTTTTCATAGTTCTCCACCTCGATAACATCCCACACGTTTCCCTGTATTTGTGTTGCATTGCTTCTGCATTTGTAGAACCACCATGTCTAACAGTGCGCTCATGTATTTATTTTTATAGCAAGAGCTTTTTTAAACAAGCAAATAAAAGCTGTTATTTTATATTTGAGGACTGAGTCATCTCTGCTATGATTATGAATGTCTTGAATTACCCACAAAGAAAAGTTATTCTCTTCTACTGTCCAACAAGCAAAACGTTGCTATAAATTGATGAGCAAGATCTTATGATACACCAGCGGCAAAATTAACCACAAGGACAAGTCATTGATTTTAACCATGGGCCTTGACCCGGCAAAACAGGCCATGGATATTGAACACTGAATACCAGCTTGATTTAGGGAGGGTCCCTACTTTCTTGTCCCCCCTGTGAACACCAGATATATAGTCAAACCAGCGGCCTATCTGT